GGCCATCAGGAAGTTGGCTCTTTCTGCACATTGTTTAGCAGCCAAAAAGGATACCAGGCTTCAGAAAAAGCATCCAAACCAGATTCCTTTTATGGTGTGAAAACATTTTGTTCAATAGGCTGCCCTTTCCTTATAGGCAATGCCTCAGAAACTACTCCTAAATGGACGGGTAGAGACAGGAGCTCCTTTTTTATTTTTTTGAGATTTTATTTATTTATTCTAGAGAGAGAGTGCAGGGGGAGGAGCAGAAGGAGAGGGACAAGCAGACTCTGTGCTGTGCGCAGAGTCCAAAGCAGAGCTCGATCTCAAGACCCTGAGATCATGACCTGAGCCGAAACCAAGAGTCAGATGCTTAACCGACTGAGCCACCCAGGCGCCCCAGGGGCTTCATATGAAGAAACCAGCTCCCGTTTTGTATGTTTCACCCTCAGAAGGTAAAACCACTCACCAAGAGTTCTGGAAGCACTATGCTCAAATGCTGTAAAGAACTTTCATTTTTTGGCAGCTTCTATTCCTGAACCTCTCTGAAAAATAACTTTCAAAAGCTGAAGTCCCTATTCTTAGATTCATAGGATCTCTGTGGTTCCAGCCAAGGGTTTTGCTGCTTTGGATTGTTCTATTTTCCTAAGGTACATTTTTTTTCATGGGTCTCATCAACACAACCTCTCCAGCACCTTAAAATAGATTCTGAACTTTGTAAGGCTTTCCTGTGGAACTCAGGTTCAAAGTGTTTGTTCCTATATAGGAACAGGTCTTGTTTAATCATTTTTATTGTTCTTGGCCACATTTCTGGGATTAAGACATTTTATAACAGGAAGAAACACAGTGGCACCTACACTAAACTAACATAACCTTTTGTTGTGAATACCAAGAAGCAAAGATTAAAAGCCCAGAGCCTTCAAACACAGGCTACATAAACAGCAATAAATTAATGTTTTCCACGAATCTGACATTTCTATCATGTGGGAAAATGCTGACGTGTTTTTCACTGTATTTCACAGCGAAGAGTTTTATTCTGCATGTGCTAATCAAACCCATCTCTGGTCGAAGACAGGAATTGGGTTTCTGGCATTAAGCAGCCATTTGACATTTAAAGATAACATCTGTGAGCGATCCCGACAGCCGAGAACCCGTGTAGGCAGTGTGTATAATCACCACCACAACTACCATCATCTTCACTGTCATCCTTATCACCATGACCATCAAATACTCATGGCTGTTTACTCCGCTGGAATACCCAATATATTTCAGAGGGTGTCATCTATTTTGAATGTTTTCCATCAACACAAAGTAGCTTCATATGGCATCCCTCCTGCTTTTGAAACATACGAAACTAGTGGTTTCCACATGTGATCTATTAAAAAGGAGGAAACACTAAAAATACAGGGAGACCATGTTTGATTTTAGTTCAGAAATATGAAATCTGTGAACATTTGAAAAGCAGCTTCTCTGCGTTATTTTATCTTACAGCTCTTCATTCGTAGTTAATAGAAATAAGAGGAAAAACCCCTAAGTACCACCGAAGAGAAGTATTTCCAGGTACTTATTTATAAAAGCTGATGAACTTGCCTATTTGTTAAAGCTGTTTCAGAACATGCTATGGTTGATACAGTCTGCCTTAAGTGTATGCCTAAAAGCAATTTATTTTTTCTTTAATTTTTTGAAACTTATGCAGATTTTCCCTGATGCATCTAAATTGGTGATAATGCCATGATTTGATTATATACTTCTGTCTAGAACATAAACTTCTTTCCTTGGCAGAATACCCAATTTATCACAGAAAAAAACTACATTGAAGACAACTTGGTAATTCTTCTATGAGGCTGTATGTTCACAGCATCCGGAGTCCCTTGCTTCCTTTTCAAGTAAATGGATTGGCAGCCTCTCTTCCAAAGGCTAAAGTTAACCAGAGTCCTCCGTGCCCCTTCACCATACCCAAGAAGAAATATATTTTATTTTGCTGACTTAATTTTCATGACAGGCAGAAAAGACCTGAAAAGGCCGTAACACCCAATCCTGGATATCGAGGAGGGGACATATATCATGATCACACACAAGCACAATATTCTACATGTCCCCCTCCCTGGTCACCAGCTTGAGGGTGGCTGGAAGTGGGGTAGGAGTTTGAGACAGGAAGAACTCACACAGACACCACTATCATGTGGATGATATCACTCAGCATCTTAGAAGAGTTAACAATTTTATTAGACGCCACTGGTATTTTCCAGACATTATTACATATCTGCAAATAAACAGATGTGACAGCCATCTACTATTTTACAAGCTACAATAAATCCTTTAGGCAAATATAGCATTCCACTTCAAATCACTATCAAACAGAGAAATAACTCAATTCCAGGGGTCCGATTCTCAGAAGACATGTTCCCACCAAACCTATAAATCAGGAATTAAAGGCTTGTAATTGAACAAGGTGACCATTTTCCTGGTCACTTTAAAGCTTGCCCTATGTTATTATTTTATGTTACATACTTACACTTGTGAAATAAACTTAAAAGAGGCATCAAAAATAATTATGTATGTGTACCTGTCTTTCAAAGAGTTTGGAGGATGTATGTACAATTTTTTTCTTTCTTTCTCTCTTTCTTTCTTTCTTTCTTTCTTTCTTTCTTTCTTTCTTTCTTTCTCTCTCTCTCTCTTTCTCTCTCTCTTTCTTTTCTTTTAGGGAGAGAGAGCGTGCATGAGCTGTTGGGGGTGGGCAGAGGGAGAGGGAGAGAGAGAATCTTAAGCAGGCTCCATGCCTAGTATGGAGCTCTTCGAGGGGCTCGATCTCATGACCTTGAGATCATGACCTGAACCAAAATCAAGATTTGGACACTTAACCGACTGAGCTACCCAGGGGCCCCAAGGATGTACATACACTTTTCATATACCCTGGTATAACACCTCTGAAAAGTAAGAGATACACTTTTTCTTAATTTTCTCCATGTAGTTATCAATCCTTTGAAGAGTTGGGATTCAACACTACAGAATATGTCTTAAAGCACAGTAATATTAAAGTAGAGGTGTGAGCAAAGAAAGCACAAAATAAAAGTGACCTATATAAAGGGAAGAAAAGATAGAGGCAAACAAGGAATTAAACAGAAAACAACGCTTAAAGAGTTGGGTGTTCAACAGTCCCTTTATCTTTTTCTTCTTCCTATCACCTAGAAATTCACCACAAAACTGTTTACAATATACACACAGTTCCTCTTCAGCATCATCAGCCTCAATGACTCTCTCCATTCTTGCCTTAAAGGATCCTGCAACCCACACTTCAATATATCCTTTCTACCATCTGAAGTAGCAATATTATTCTACTCTTGACTAAGCCCAACATGAAAATCATCACACCAAAACCAATTGTATTAGTGCTTTTAAAACATAATATAAATTTTAAGATTAGATTATCTCATGTTTGTATAATTTTATAGTTCATATCATCCCAGAAGAGATATGTCATCTATACCCAAAAGTTTCTCATTGCGTATAGACTTAGTGTAAGAGTGCGAAGTTAAATCTCCTTATGTGTTGCATGCAGGACTACTGGAGGTGAAAAATGTCACAGAAGGACAGACCTAGGTAAGCAAACACAACAACTGCATATGCTCTTGGGATATTTCCTCTATGCAGGTTTGAATTAGAGGGCAGATGTTTCAGGGAACTAGTGAACCAAACCTTATAGACGCCACTAGGTTGGCTCCATCGGGCAATTCTAAGGTAATGAACATTGTGCTGTTGCAGAAATAGTTTAGACTGTTGTATTCAAGGAAACTCAGAATGGTCAGATGAACTAGAAACCTGGAGAAGTGAAAGTTAGCTATATAAGCCTCTAGGTTATGCTAATAGTAACTTACATCTTATTCACCAAGCCACTTAAAAACATGACTAGGATATTTTTTTCACTCCCAAGAAGGATATGCACAACTAATGTATTGCAGTGGAAACCCATTTTTGACCGCAAACAAAGCAAGAGAAGACCCCAACTCTCAGTGGTCAGCTAAAAACCAACCAACCAACCAACAAACCAACAAAAAAATAATTGACATTATTATAATAAGTTAATGCTCTGTCTGGTTCATTGGGAATTTTGCGCTTTAAAGTTTGCCATGTTTGTTACACTGCACAAGGCTTGCTAATGAGGTGCTGCTCTTAACACACCAAGATAATGCCATTGACATGAGCAGAGGCTTTGCTCTGGTTTGCCCTTTGGAAACTTGTTTTCATAGTAGAGATAGATTTGATTGAACAGTTCCTATCTCTCTCCTGACATCCTGTGTGAGTCAAAGATTTAGGAGACAAGGAACCAAAATCTGGCCAGAGCAGCTGACAGCCAAAGCACAAAGTCTAAAACCTAGGCCTTATGAAAGCTGATTCTCTTAACTTCAGGGCTGCTCAGGGGCATTAATATGTTACACCGTGCTGTGCATAATTAGGGAATTAATACAGACCGCTGACCTGTCCTCAGCAAATGCTGATCTAATTGAATGGGGTTACAAAGAGAGCAGACTTCCTATCTTTCTGGAGTTGCTCAGTGCTCTTGAATTTTCTCAGGTGGCCTAAAGGGAACAGGCTCAGACAGGACTAAGGAGCAAATCCAATCGTACAAAAACTCCCAAAGACCGGCAAGGCCCCAATTTGTCACAACTCCTAAGTTCTTTTTTCACTTCCTTTAGCCCTCCTCCTCCAAAAACTACATCAATACATGAAGACAATATACCAGGCACCAAAGAGACATATAAATGATGCCATATAAATTATTGTAAAAAAAACTAAACAAAAATACCTTGTCATGTTGATATCCAGAGAAGTCTAGCACCAAAAACAATATTAATGGCAAAACAAATTTATTATGAAAGGTAGTTCTTAAATAATCTTTGTGTGATTTACTTCAAAGGGTGATCAGGATTTGCAAAGAGAAAAAAATACCTGATAGAAATGAAAGCACAATTATTTGGATTTTTTTTCACTGAATTTGATTACAATCTTATAAGTCAACCTACCTCAAGTTTAAGTAAGTCAGCATCTGCAGATTAATGATGGCCTCAGGAATGACTCTGATGCAATTATGATACAGATTAAGAATTTCCAGTGATACAAAATGGCACAATTCCATTGGGACTTCGACCAGTCTGTTTTTAGATAAATCTGTGAGAAAAGGAAAGAATATTTTGTCAATAAATCTTCAATATAATCCAGTACAATTGTCAACTATCAACACTTTTTTTTCTTAAATGTTTTAAAATAAGCATAATTTAAATTTAGATCAGTATTTTCATTTTTTGTAGCTCTGTTACTCCACAGTTGATTTCCTTTTCCTGGCATATTATCCAATTCATACGGAAAAGCAAAAATACTACTTAAAACAGTTTTAGCTCTATATTAATTTGTAAATACAGGCCAGATATAAGAGTAACTGAATCAATATTTACTTTCCATTCTATCTAGAAATTATTTCAAAGTCATTCTCCCCCAGGCAAGCATGAAAACTGTATCCTTCAGTCTGCCTGAATATATATCTTTACCATAATATTTATTTAATTCAATTTTGCATTCATAACATATGTTGTCTCTTGGAACATTATATCTCGGCAAACACACACATAGTAGATACTAAACAAATATTTCATTCACTGGAATTACTGAGAACCTACAATGTACAAGACCAAGATAAATCAACTGTGTCTCTCTTAAGGACAGGCAGTGTGTCTGCCACATGACCAGCAATAAAACTGGGCTCTCTTCCTCAAGTGTACCAAAGACCATAATAATGGTGGTCTACAGAGCAGTGTAAATGCACATCATGGTTTACAATATCACCATCTCAACAGTAAAAAATGGAACAGTCCTTACTGTCTAAACCTGGGAGTGGCAGAAATAACTGTTAAATACCATAAAATACCAAATATGAGAAAAGAGCTACCACTCTCAAAAACAATAACTCAACATTACTGATCATCTCACCCTTCATCAGGAGGGACTCAATCAGTATGACCTGAAGATGTTTACTAAGTATCATGTCATATATACTTAAGGAATCACACTCCATTAAAAAAAAAACAAAACAGAAAATTTAAATAGGTCAATACTATAGGGGCGCCTAGGTAGCTCAGTCATTAAGCATCTGCCTTCAGCTCAGGTCATGATCCCAGGGTCCTGGGATCGAGCCCCGCATCAGGCTCCCTGCTCCGCGGGAAGCCTGCTTCTCCCTCCCCCATTCCCCCTGCTTGTGTTCCCTCTCTTGCTGTGTCTCTCTCTGTCAAATAAATAAATAAAAATCTTTAAAATAAATAAATAAATAAAAATAAAAAATAAATAGGTCAATACTATAATGAAATGGAAGTCAAAGGGCTATTCTCCTGACAGACCACCCTTCTGAGAAATAAATACATAAATAAACAAAGACAGGCCTAGATGGCTTCAGAGGTGAATTCTAAGCAGGTTTAAAGGGACAATTCTGATAATATTTAAGTTATTCCACACGAGGCAAAAGAAGGAAAGTTTCTAAATATTTATTTAAAGAGTAAGGTATAATATTGATACCAACACCTAACAAGGAAAATACACAAAAGAGAAACTACTTACGAATCTCCCTTCTCCATAAACACTTATGTAAATCCTAAATTTAAAAATTAGCAAACAGAACTGAGCAGTATATAAAAAAGATTAACATACTATGAGTAAGTGGAACTTATTCTAGGAATATAAGGATTTTGTATTATTTAAACAAGTCACCATATAACTAGAGTAAAAGCAAAATAGCATATGATCACCTCTAAGATACTTAAAAGGTATTGATAAAATACTGTATTTATTTATTTTCAAAAACTACTTTACTGAAGTATATCTAATATATCGTAAAATTGACCTACTTCAAGTGTACAATTAAGTGATCTCTAGCAACTTACCAAGTGGTATATCATCATGATAAATCAGAATATTTATATTCATTCTTAATGTAATTTCTCAATAAAAGAAGAATAGTTGGCTATTTCCTTACATAATTACACACACACACATGCATATGAGTGAGCATTTTTTAATTTATTACTAAATTTCAAATGACTAGAAATATTACCAATAAAGTCAAGACAAGACATCACCACCACTATTATTACTTATTATTGTTCAGAAGATATTAGCCAATGACATGGATAAGGAAAGAAAAGAAGAACCAAAATTGGAAAAAAAGAATTATCATTGTTCACAAATAATATGATTGTTTTCCCAGAAAATCCAAAAATATCAACAGAAAAACTACTTCAAAAAGGTACAGGGTAGAAAATGAGTATGTTGATAATAGCCTTCACACACACACACTCACCTGCAAAATAATACAACATAAGAAACCTAATTTATTGGGGCGCCTGGGTGGCTCAGTTGGTTAAGCGACTGCCTTCGGCTCAGGTCGTGATCCTGGAGTCCCGGGATCGAGTCCCGCATCGGGCTCCCTGCTCAGCAGGGAGTCTGCTTCTCCCTCTGACCCTCCTCCCTCTCCTGCTCTCTGTCTCTCATTCTCTCTCTCGCAAATAAATAAATAAAATCTTTAAAAAAAAAAAAAAAGAAACCTAATTTATTATAATAACAAAAGTAAAACATCTAGAAAATCTTAAATAGGCAAAAGTTTATATGAAGAAAACTTTGAAATGCTACTAAGCAATAAAAAAGAAAAATTATGATTAAAAAGATATTCCATGATTGTAAATAAGAAGGCCAGCATCAAAAAAGTGTCAATTCTCTCTAAGCTGTACGTGTATAATGGAATGAACTCCCAATTCAAAAAATATAGTTTTAGATATATATTTTTTAGTTTGCTGATGTTACCACACAAGTTGACTTTAAAGTTCGTATGGTAGAATAACGCAAAAATAGCAAGGTAGCTCTCAAAACAAAAGGTGCTCTCAGGGGTACCAGCTCTCTGAAACATTAACAGACACATAAGGCAGTATGATGGGCAGGTGAGAAGGTCAGAGGAACAAATTACAAACAGGTCAAAGACACATATGGAAATCAAGTGTGCAGTCGAGGTGGCATTTCAAGTCAACGGAGAAAAGATGTGGGGTCAGTGAACAGTTTGAGAAAACTGGATAGCCATCTGAAACAAAGGATGACCTACTTCACCCCTTTCACCTCAATAAATTCTAGATGAATTAAATTGTTAACTTTATTTTTTAAATATTTTATTTATTTATTTGAGAGAGAGCACACAGGAGCAGAGAGGGGGAAAAGGAGAGGGAGAGGGAGAAGCAGACTTCCTGATGAGCAGGGAGCTTGACCCAGGGCTCCATCATGGGGCTGGATCCCAGGAAGGACCCCAGGACCCTGGGATCATGACCTAAGCTGAAGGCAGATGCTTAACCGCCTGAGCCACCCAGGTGCCCCTAAATGATTAACTTTAAAAAGTAAAGCCATAACAGCACTGAGACAACACGTGGAAGTTTGTGTTATGATCTTAGAATGGAGAAAGTCTTCCTATGAATGGCATAAAGCAAGACTGATAAATTCAACACATTAAAACAAAATTTATAGCATTCTAAAACAAACAAAAGCTCCACCAAAAACATACACGACAATCAAGGAATGGGGGGCAGGTGAGAAGTCCTACAATTCATAAACCCAATAGGCTAATTTTTTATACATATAAAGAGCTTCTACAGTCAATGATATAAGTCTGAAACCCAGAAAAAAAAAAAAAAGGACAGAAGGAAGGAAGGAAGGTGGGAGAGAAAGGAAGGAGGGAGGAAATGGAGGAAGGGAAGGAAGGAAGAAAAAAGAACAGATGGCTCACAGAAAAGGAAATACAAATGGCTCTTAAGCATCTGAAAAAATTATCAACCTCACTCACATTAGAGCAATGCAATTCACAGCTACATGGGATAATATTTTTCACCCATTAGACTAGTAAGTATCAAAAAGTTTGATGAACATATTATAATGCTGAGGACACAGTGATGTAAATGAAGAACATGTTAGCAAGATCAATCAAAATTACAAATGTACATACTTCATTCAACCTAGAAATCTTTCTCATCTACAGATAAACGCATATGTGTGCAAATGACATTATTTTTTAACATGGTTTAAGAGCAAAAGATAGCAAGTTAAATATCAGTGGAGGTCTGGTTATATATTAATATGTTATTAATAAATGTAAATAAAACTAAAATTAAATCAATCAATAAATATTAGCATAATATTAATATTTCATGTGGCGGAATGTAATATTAAACACTATATTCCATAATGCAGCGCTGATACATGCAGTCATTAAAATGAATGAAGCAGCTTTATATGTGCTGATGTGGTACAATCTCCCAGACATATTATAAATTTTTTTAAAAGCCTGGCATAGGACAGTGTATATAGTATTTGTTTCTAAATGAATATTTACATAGTTGTAAATAGATATATAAATATAAATTGATTATCTCTGGAAGCTGCAAAAGAAACTGGTAGAAGTGGTTGCTTCTGGAAAGAGGGCTTCTTGCAGAGAGGACGGGCGTCAGAGCAAGATCCCCCCGCCATACATCATGCTGTACCTTTAGAAATGTGAATGCATTGCTTATTTGATTTTGCATATAGAAATGGATTCGATATATATGTACATGTGTTGTATATATTGTATATAAATACATATGTGTATATATACGCAGATACACACACACACATATATACATATTCTCTACACACAGAATTTTGTTTCATTTGAAAAGAGAGTTAAGAAGTCAGAGCAAACTGTGAAGTCCCATGCTCTTAATTAAGGGAAATACAGAGGCAAGCTTTTTATGAATGTTTAGAACCTCAACAGAAGAAAATTCCACAAGTCTCTTGCATTCTTTCTTCCTGAAACTCTTTACCAGACATGGCAATCCTCATGTGCTACGATGCTGGAAATTTGCCCAGAAAACTTTTATGTGCTGTTTCCTTCAGGTTCAACTCAAAGAAAAAATCTATTGAGGTTCCAGTTTACATTCAAACCTTGACCTTTCCCGAGAACTGCTAGAATGATACCATCAAGTTGAATGTTTCGATAACTACTTTAAATAATAATAATGTTTTTATTAGTTTCAGTGTCACTAATGCTTTTTTTAAAAAAAGGATTAGGGGTTTTTGTAGAAATGCTGTCATATAACTATAAAACTTTTAAA